TTGAAATATCATATTTTTCACTATTTTCATAAGACATTATTTCATTGAACTTTTTTCTATTTCAGAAAAATAAAAAACTGGCTTTGCAGAGTAATAAAAAAGCAGAAAATACGACTATGTAGCATAAGATCTATCTAAAATTGTTATAAATTTTGTGGTTGGCTTCAAATAATGTCTTATTGCAATATCATATTTTTCACTATTTTCATAAGACATTATTTCATTGAACTTTTTTCTATTTCAGAAAAATAAAAAACTGGCTTGGCAGAGTAATAAAAGAGCAGAAAATATACATACGTAGCATAGGAACTACCTAAAATTGTTATAAATTTTTAAATTTTTGAAATAAATAAAAATAAAAATTAAATAATTTTTAACGTTGTTGTCTTGAGACAGCGCGCTCGGAGAGCGCGCGTTGTTTCTAGTAACCTTATTGAAAAAAAAAATTAATTTGGAAGGAGAAAATTTTTTTGGAAGTTTGGTGACTGTCTTCAAAATTCCAATTCGTCACCAAACTTCCATTTTGATCGTACGAAATGTTACCGAACTTCCACTTGCACGTATATATACTACTATATAAATTTCTGGTGTCTATCTGTCTGTTCGGGGTAATCTCCAAAACGGTTAATTCGATTGCGACCAAATTCAACAGATATGTAGAGGGGGTTGTTCGGAAAGTTATATGCTACTTTTTGTTAATGTGAATTGTTTTATAACAATTAAATTTGTTATAAACAATTGAAAACAGGATTTATTCAATTTGAGATCTTTCAACGGGAAATTTTTTCTTTTACTGAAACAATGTTATCCACTGTGTAAAATGAATATAAACATACTTCTTTTGTTCGTAACATACCATTTGTTGTAAAAGAACAGAAATTGAGTTTTACGATCATTTCCTTTCATTATCAGTAAGAGTGCTCCTGTAACTGGAGGAGTTACCCAGTGAACACAGAATGTAAATGTGACAGTCACAAAAATTCCATATCAATACTATTCGTTTTAATCTTCAATATCCGTTATTAGGTAAAAAATTTAAAAACTAATTGTGATAAATCTATTTTTTGTAACAAATTTTGATATTTCCTCAGTTATTCTGCTTCCCCTAGATTCTTGAAGAACAGAACTTATTATATTATATGGTTTTAACCGTATATCCGATATTTATCGTATTTTTCTGTTACTTTTCTTTTTTTTATAGATTTCAAAATTATTTTGGAAGTTTGATGACTGACACCAAACTTCCATAATCGTTGTAGGGAAGTTTGGTGACAGTCACCAAAATTCCAATTCGTCACCAAACTTCCACTTTGGTCGCACAAAATGTTACCAAACGTCCGCTTGCATGTATATATATATATATATATGTATATATACTTCTACTGTTATTCAAGAGGAACGCTTCAACTTCATAGCTATAGATTTTATATCAACGTTACTATGTCAGTAACACGGATGATTTGGTGATGTGAACTTACAAGTTTGTCCCCTACTAAAAATTGCTCCAACGCGCCTGAAGAAGTTTTCACTTCAAAAAGAAGTGAAATCCGCACAAAACAGGCATCTAGGAATGCCTGTAAAAACTGGCGCCAAGTCCACATTCAAGTAAAATTAGTATAAATGGAAAAAAGGTAAGATCAAAAAAACATGTGAAATCAGGTAAAACGCCAAGTTAGCTGCGTCTTTTTTCATAATTTTTTCGAACTAGCAATGTACTATTGACTTATAAAATTTCAGTTAATTTTGAAGTACCAAAAAAAAAATCTTTAAAACCAAAAAACTATGGAACTTGGCCCAATTTTGTCTTTAAAGTCTGCCCAATTCAGTTTCAAATGTTCTTATGTACGAACTATAATATATGGAACTGTTGAAAGAATTTAAGAAATTGGGCCAAGTTCCATAGTTTTTTGGTTTTGAAGATTTTTTTTTTGGTACTTCAAAATTAACTGAAATTTTATAAGTCAATAGTACATTGCTAGTTCGAAAAAATTATGAAAAAAGACGCAGCTAACCTGGCGTTTTACTTGATTTCACATGTTTTTTTGATCTTACCTTTTTTCCATTTATACTAATTTTACTTGAATGTGGACTTGGCGCCAGTTTTTACAGGCATTCCTAGATGCCTGTTTTGTGCGGTCAAGAATTTCTGGAGGTATATTTTTGTGAGGCCCAAAATCGAATCCTTTTATCAAATGATTTAAATTATCTCATGTAACATATTTTTTATTTTCGCTTATATCATTGAAAACTAATCCAAGATCATACTGACAAATGCCTTCAAGTATATCATGTAAAACATCAACTGATAAATTTTTTGTGACATGAAAACCATCTAAATTATGAAAAATGCATGGCTCAACTATTCCTGTACTTTTTGGATTATTTTCCTCTAAATCAGATTTATAATTTTTTTCATTACACATTAGATTTTTAATTTCAAAGTATTCATTTTGAATGTCTTCGAGTTTAATTTGACAGAATCTACAAAAATGAGATGATCTAAAACTTGTAGTGAATCCAAAAATTTCGTGTAATCCTAAATTGTCACCCAAAAACAATGCCATTTTAAAGTATACTTGTGTCTTATTATTTTCCAGCTGAATTTCTATACCTTCTTTTTCTAGAAAATTAAGTTCATCTAAAACTTTTGCAAAAATAATTGAATTTTTAATTACTTTTCTGTCTAATGAATTGAATAAGATAAACAAAAAAATATTATTACTTTTTGAGGCAAGATGTGGTGGTGAAGATGGTAAGCTCAAATATACAGCTCCACATTTAGAAAGATCCTTATGAGAAGACAATGGATTATTGGTTTCATAATCATCAAAGTGTAAATTAATTGGAAGAATAATCTTTTCCTGAAAATCCTTTGACAAATTTTTCCATAAATCTGTCTGTATTAAATTTGAAATGATTCTATTATCATTTAATCCAGAAATATAATCCATTGTCTCTGAAAAAATATGTGGCATTTCAAAAACTTTCTTAAAACGTAACGTACAGGAATAAATTGAGCACACACTTCTTTCATTACCATTTCTTTAGTATAAATTCTTGAACTTCTCCAATAAGGTATTCTTTTGGTTCTATATATGTACCTATTTTGTTAAATATTCGAAAAATGTTGAATTCGGTATACGTATCTGTATCATATTGTTTCTCTATATCAAAAAACAATTCATCAATTTTTTTTCTAACTTCTTTCTCTACTGATTCGTTAATAGCTATGAAGACTTTTGTTATTATTTTTGCTAAAATACTTGTAATTAATGTTGTCGTATCTTTAAAAATATCTATGGCTCTAATACGGGGCAGATCTACTATAGCAAATAATTTTGCAGCAAAAAATACAAGATCTGTATTGTTAACATTTTTAAAGTTCGTTTTCTCATTTCTATCAGTTGATGATATGTTAGATACAATAGAAATGTCAATACTCTCAACATTTGAATGACTAATATAACTAGGATTTTTAGTGCAGTGATTATTTCAAAATACACAATTCTAATTATCTTTAAAAATATTCGGTACTTCAACATTTAAAATATTAGAATTATGGCAGGTAGAAATAGAAACTGTTTTCTTTTTTGTTTTATTGTTACAGACTGTATTTCTCTCAAAATTAAGATTATGTTTGAAATTAGTGTGTTTGCGAAGTAAATTTAATGATGAAAAACTTCTCGTACATTTTTTCTCACCACATTTAAATTTACCTAAATTTTTCTGAAAAATAAAGACATGTCTCATATAGCTTGATGTGATTTTAAAGTGTTTATTACATTAAAGACAAAAAAACATCTTAGCTGAATCGAATGAGAATAGCGGTAAAAATTTATGTTGCAAAATTTGATTCAATGATATATTCAAACTTTTGGATAGTATTAGTTATTTAAAAATTTTTATAAAAACGTCCAAAAATAGAAATAAATTAAAATGTCATCACTTAGATATGATTACTGATCAAATGACTTTTGAAATGATGATATTAGTCAAATAATTTGCCATTTGGGGGTTCACACTTTCCGTTGATTTTGTTGAATGGAGAGTAATATGATGAAACATTTTCTGATGGAAAGAAGTCGACTATTTGATAAGCTATCTCCTTAAATCTGGAAACTTGAATCCTGTTGTAAAAAAAAAATTGTTAATTGGACAGTTACTAAAACTATCATTATAATTAATATCATCAAAATGATGTAAATACCTGAACGAAGAAAAGGAACTTGATAGCTGATTATCGTTCACTAAATTTGAAGATAAATGGTCCTCAAATTTGAATTTTATAATCATTTGACACAGTAGGTTTCTCAAATAGTTTACTAGACTATTGTGGGTCAAATAATATTCAACTACGAAATTTCCTTCAAGTGTATTTTGAATACGTTGATAAATTGGCTGAAAAAGTGGAGGATGAAATTAATACGAACTACTTTTAACTTTTTACAAAAATACCAGATCAGTTAAAAAAATAGGTATTAATGTGTTATACAATTTTTTGATAATACCATTCAAAATTAAGATTCGTGAACCCTGGAATTTTTACTTACATTATTCAATTGTTCTTCAGTAAGTTGTTCTTCAATTATCACCAATTGTTGATCCTGTAAGACAGATTTTATTATTAAAAGTGAATATAGTGCAAATATAAGATGTATAGATAAATAAAATGTTTTCATTAAGTAAATTGATAACGTCATCACAAAGCTGTACAAAAATTAAAACTTTTTGTCCATTTGATTTTTAAAAATTCGTGCTTACTTATTTGAATAATAATTTCTGATTGTTAACCGTCACAATAAACAGTAACCAGTGAACTTTACGTGTTTTGCCTCTGATACAAACCAACAAACACGTCTCAGCGCGTAAAACGAACACACACGAAGTATCACGTGACAACACGAACGTATAACCTATAGTGTCTACTAACTCAGTACTTGATGTTCAACGCTATAGATAATTGAAAATTGTGAGTTTTTTTTGTAATGCAATGGTGAATGTGTGTTTTGTTTACATGACAATTTTGATTTAACTCAGTATTTATTTGTTGACATTGAATGATGTTTTTCTAAGGATGGTACTTTGTTATTTAATTTGGTATTATTGATAAAAATGTAATGCATGATAATAATATTTTATTTGCAGTGCAGGAAGGCAATATCGAGGTCCTAATGGTAAAGCATTTATTATCAGTGGAGAATGAATGAACAGTTTTTTCTTAAAAATGAAATGTTAATTAATATATATAAAATTCTTTGATATAGTTAATAAACATTATCAAAAAGCTTAAATGAATTTCTACAAATGTTTCACACAAACGTTATAATGGACAAAAAGTTTTAATTTTTGTACAGCTTTGTGATGACGTTATCAATTTACTTAATGAAAACATTTTATTTATCTATACATCTTATATTTGCACTATATTCACTTTTAATAATAAAATCTGTCTTACAGGATCAACAATTGGTGATAATTGAAGAACAACTTACTGAAGAACAATTGAATAATGTAAGTAAAAATTCCAGGGTTCACGAATCTTAATTTTGAATGGTATTATCAAAAAATTGTATTACACATTAATACATATTTTTTCAACGGATCTGGTATTTTTGTAAAAAGTTAAAAGTAGTTCGTATTAATTTCATCCTCCACTTTTTTAGCCAATTTATCAACTTATAAAAGATACAACCGATGGAAAAACTATAGTGAAATACTATTTAACTCATAATCATGTAGAGAAAAATTTAAGAAATCTATTGACTCGAATAATTTTGAGAGCTGAAGCTAATAAAATTTTTGGTCCAGTTGACATTAATAACGAACCAAAATCTCTTCCGAAATTCAGGTATACATTTTTACGATTACGTTAATGATAATTTATTTTTCATTTGATCCTTTCATTGAAATGATAATCTTAATAATTTCCAAATGAATGTTTGTTCTAAATAGAATAACAGTGACAAGATTCAAAGAGTTAGCTAATCAAATTGTCAATCTTTTTCCTTGTGAAAATGTCTTAACATATTACAGTCCATATGTCGAAGTCAACAAGAGACGAATAAACTCATCGGGAACTATGTGGGATCATTATAATTATTTGAAGAAAAAGTTTCGTGCAGGAAAAATTCTCGATGCTAGAAATATTTTGGAAGAAGAACCTGATTATGCAGCTAATGGTATTTATAATTTTCTTTTAAGTGAATAATATCACTTCACTGTTGACAATCAATTTAAAATGGTTTCTGTCTTTTGCAGAAACAGAAGTAAATCAATTAGAGTGGTTGAAAGATCATTTGGATCCTAAAGACGTGGTCCTTCAATACTGGAATAATACATATGATTTAAGACACGCAAAGTTAAAGGCTGGACTTTCTGTTTCTGAATACTTTTCCAACATTCCAGCATTGGGAGTAGCTCAAGGAATTCAACTAGTAAATATTAATTGATAAAATTCTTCAAATGGTATCAACTTAAATCCTCTTTTTTGTATTCATGTTGAAAATTTTATGTTATTAGATTCAAGCAGACTTCAAACACATATACTCTGAAAATTTATTTAACCAGAATCGATGGCGTATCATAAAAAATTATTTGATGAATCGGTTGATGAATGGGTCTTTTATAAAGACTTTGCAGGACGAGGCCTTGCTTTTATTATTACCAACATTGCTTGCTCGTAAGAATTATCCGTTTATGTTTATAATCAGTTTTTTAAATAAATTAAACATTTTGAGTCTCTTTTCTGTAGATAATCAAGATGCAGTGATACTCTACTTGCTACCAAACTTGATTCAAGGTGGCACAAAAAAAAAACAAATGATCAAAACCAAGTAGAGCTGACTAAATTTACGCCTGTAGAACAACGTTCTTATTTTTTAATTCACGTCGAGGTAATTTTATTTTTTTTGAGTGAAGTTAAAAGAAAAATTTATGAAATAAATAGTTTTCAAACTTATCAGATAATTGGTGACAATTTTCAGACACCACAAGCATTACAGGCAACAGTAGACAAGAGGATTGATGAGTTATTCAATGCTGGATAACCTCTGCAACCAATTCCATTTCTTATAGGGCCTCTTACTGGAATTACTGGAGCACGCATCGTAATCAATAAAATAATATATAAAACTTCGTCAGTCATGGAAGCAATTAACAATTGTTTCCAGAGTTTTTTTGCGTTAGATTGTGAATATCCAAAACGAGCGTATAACTTATGGCTTTTTATACAAAGAGCTCTATACAACATAAAACTGCGAATCGACCGAACTAATCGATCGATAAATGTATTAGAAGGTGAAATCGATTTACTTTTAAGACAAAATAACGTATGACAGCACAAAGAAAATCTTTTCTATTTTGTTATTACAAGAAATATTTTTAAGAGTTCAAAGTGCAACAATAATGTAACCATTCATATTAAAGTTTTCATTTATGTGATCATTTCCTAACAAAATAAAAAATTTATATTTCATTAATTTTGTGAATTTTTATGGCTTTATTCCTAAAATACTATTTTTAAATAATAAAATTAATAAAAACTGTTATTTTTTATTTTAATTTGCGCGCTACCGTTAGATGGCGCAGTAAATTTTCGCGGTATAAGAAATTTTACTATGCAGTGAAGTAATTTTTACAGTAAATCTTCGCAGTATAAGAAATTTTACTATGCAGTGTGGTAATTTTTACTATAACGCTGAGATGTCACCAGATTACCGACCAATTTATAGCAATTTTTACTATATATTTCTCTCTGTGTAGCGTTATCACTGTAAAGCTCAGTGTGCAACTGATTGTTATTAGGTTTAATGGAAATTGACAATTTAGGATCAGCGTTCTTTAAATAATTTTCAATATCTTCAATTTCATAGCTTCCTGTTGGTATTTCGATAATTTTATCAGTAGATAAGCAGGGCCGGTTCTGGATCACTCTGCAATACCGGCCAAGTAAAAAAAGTGAGTTCTGATCCGCACTAATTACCAACCGCGATAACTTTGACGATAAGTTACCGACCGCGATAAGTTATCGACACTGATAAATTATCGGCAGCGATTTTTTTTACCGACCTCGATAAATTATCTTTAATGATAACACCGATTTTTTACCAACCGCGATTAAAATTTCACTATCAGCAAAAATAACTGACTTTTTTTCAAAGTTTTGTCAATGTATTGATATTCTCTCAAAATTTGCGCTACCGACTATCAGATTTTTTCTGGAAATAAATGAATGAAAACAGTAATCTTTTTCGTGTACACAATTTATTTATAGCAAAAAAAAATTTGATTAATACATGAATAATATAATCATAATCATATAATATGTATATTTTTTACAATATTTTATGTTAGTTTTCTCATTTGCGCACTTAAAGGTTTATACTCTATGATTCGATCATGTAAGATCAAACAATAGGCTGATGTATTAGCAGGAAAAGCTTTTGATGATTCAAATTCCAGTCGAACATCAACTGGTCCTGATTTTAAGGATTCATTTTGTTCAGAACAATCAATTACAACGAGTGGTGCTATATCTATAAATTTTTTTTTCGTGAGTAGAGGTTCTGCTTCTTTATCATAATATGATGTTTGGAAATCTCTATACATATCATATAATAAGGCAAATTGATTGTGCCTTATGTCAAGATTCATGTTGCCATATGGATAGCATTGTGAATTGAGGAAAAGTTTTACATCCCTTAAATCACAATGATTGAAATGACTTGCATCTTTTGTAGCATCATTTTTGCGTGCAGTTTGAAATCCTAATATAACATAGCGGGGCTTTTCCAATTGAGTTGATGTTTTCTACGACCCATACGTGTTTGGTTGTGTTCGGCAGCATTGGATATTCATATAATTCCCATGATCTGAAACTCACTGGAATCGGTGGGTCTTTTGCAATGTAACTTAACAATTCTACTTTTTTTATGTCTGCAACAGTGACATAAGGAATGATCCATTCAATTTTTATAAGCGTGATCGTCTCTTCAGGTTCCGCTGTAGCTTGTACAATTGCATTAAGATCGGTATTTGAACGAGTAAGTATTAATTCATGTTTGGCATTGACAATTATGCGATGATAATCTTCAGCATATCCCAACAGCATATGTAACGGTATCAAAACATCAAAGTATCTATTATCATTAAATAATCTTTCATCATCAGTTTCCCAACCTGCATTATCTAAATAATTTTTTTGACCTGGATGAAGAGATAGATATCCCTTCATGAGACTTGTCAGACCAACATTTTTATTTCGATCAATCTCAACACCATTCAACTCATATCGTATTTCTTCAAATAAATAGCATACGGCCATATTAACGAATCTTGATGTTGCTGCTACTGCATTTCCGTTAGATTTTGTAAATTTCCCCGTAATATGAAGGGAACTTTTGCTTGGCAACAGACATAAATCTTGATGTTGAACTGAGATATGTATCTCATCATTATTATTATATGTTGTAGATGCATATGGTTGATGAGCATGCACCTCAATGTGTGCAATAGACTCATCAAATATGACACCTTTGCTTATTGCTAATTTTTCTTCTTCCATGGTAAAAGACATGCAAGACAACACACTTTCACTTTAATTTTGTTGCACTTTTGCGTATTTTTAGTCCCAGACTTTGTAGGAATAATCGATTTTGAAAAGTTAATCGTTTAAATTTTCTTCGATGACTGATGGGATTCAGGCATGATATGTTAGTTTTATAGCTTTCCCCTACTATTGGTTTATAAACAATCCCCATTACATGACTGATTTCAAATGTAAACGTATTGTTACAGTTTCACCACGTAAATTAACCAATTGACCGTCTTGATCAACAATGCGCAGTTGTAAATTATGTATTGTCTGTACGGTGATTGGAAGATAAATGACGTTTGATGGAACTTCAATGATCTTATATCCTGGTGGAACTGATGGGAAAAATTCGTGAATCGTATGTACCAACTGATTATTCATGTATGCTCCTGTAGTAATATTACATTCAATCCTTAATGCATTAATTTTCAAGATAGATATTGGTAAATCTGATGTGTGAGTCAATTTTGGAAAAATAACTCGTGGACTAAAGCCTAACAAACTACCAATAGAATCATGCGGTTTGAAATTTATTGTTGCATTTTCACTGTAAACTTCACTGTGTAGTTCATTATTATTGGGCTTAATAGAAATTGATAATTGAGTATCAGCTTTCTTCAAATAATTTTCAATGTCTTCAATTTCATAGCTTCCTGTGGGTATTTTAATACTTTTATCTTCACCATTGAGTGTACAATAAAATTTATTTAGTATTATCAAATTATTAAATTTATTTATTTATTTGAGTTCCAGGTCCAGTTTTATCATTGAGATTAATAATTGCTGATTCATTTTTCCACGGTGAAGATTTTGGAAGATCATTTCGCATAAAAACACCACGAAAAAAGGGTATTTTCATGATTTCTGCATATTTTTGAAGTTCAATATCAGTCAGTGCACGATGGGGTAAATTTAAAAGTACCGGTTTCAAATACAATCCTAATCCTCTCTTGTGCGGTTTTAGACGTAGACCGTTACCCAAAGCTATTACTTCCATTTTCTCGTTATGTCGTTTAGCTTCTTCTAATTGACGTTTGGCGTCTCTAGCATCATTAATTGCTTTTGCAATGCCAGCAGCGCCACCTGCTACAGCACCAACTGCACTTAAACCTGCAAATAGAGGTATAAGAGGTAAAATACCTCCCACTTTTGGCGGCATTGGTATAATACGTGGAACTTTCATTTTTTTCTTTCCACCAGCATCGCAAACAGTCTTTCGTGCAGCAGCTAATGCAGATTTAATAGGATCTGAACTGGAATTTAACATAAGCTTTGCTGAATTAACAACTTTTCGCAAATGTTTAACTCCCTTTTCCTTTTTGTTTCTTTCTTTCAAACCCATTCCCAATTTTGATTTAACTTTCATGACGTTGGAAATTCCTAAAGCAGCAATTCGTTCAGCAATATCTGCGTCTCTCGCAAAAAAACGTTTCATAGATTTTTCAGCAAGTATTCTATCAGCTGCGTTTCTAGCTTCAATGTTATCTTAATTTTGCGAATATGCAATATCGTGTTCTTTACAAGCAGCGTCCAATGGATTGATTCCTGGATCTTCACGTGCTAATCTCTCCTTCAATTTAGTTCCCGGACCCCAATAATGATATCCTGGTATATGAAGTTTGAATGGCAATCTGTTTATAAGTGTGTTAACAATACCAGCACCTCGTTTTTTAATACGTGCTGGAATAATGATAAATATGGCTTCTTGGTAATTGATAAAGACAGTGATCTTAATAATGGGCGATATAGAAGAGGATTTGATTGCTTCATAAGTATAAATTCATCGTAAATACATTAAATTGTACATTGTGTATGTGATTGTCAGAGTGTCAATATGAAAACTACGAAGCTGCAACACGAAACAAAATATTGCATTAAATAGCAACAGCTAGTGATGCAATACGCCAAAAGCATAAGTTGATTAAACTTGGAAGAGATATGACTCAACAAACCATGAATGAAATATTTAAACCTATGGTGACTCCTCTTAAACAATTAGCTGATAAAACACTTATTAAAGAGGAACCTCAAGAAATAAAAATAAAAAAAAAAGAACCTAAAGAAGAGCCTAAAGAAGAAGTTGAAAGCAAACAAGAAAGCCTTACATCTGATTATGAAATAACTGATGATGATTTTTATACAACAGCAATAATTACCCATCAAAGTACTCCTATCAAAGACATACCTGTAGTAAGGTATTTCAAGATGTTTAATTGTAAGCTCTTGTCCAAAGAATTAAATACAAAGTATGGCATACGAAAGTTAAAAGGTAATCGACTGATGATGGGTGATTCTGAAGTCAGGTTCGACAATAATTTTATTTATATTGGTGATAAAAAATACAATACTACTTCTGGTCTATTGGAATTATTATTTATGAATTCACCTGATCAATCAAAAATAACAAAAGAAGATGAAAACACTTATGGCAGAATTATCAGTATGACAAACGCCTATCGAAAGCATTATCTTCCTGACAGAAGTATCAGAGTAGATAAGAATTTAAAAAAATTCACCGACATAATCAGTAAATATATACCAAAAAGTCGAGGAAGTTTACCACAATATATGATTAAACATAAACAAAATCATCCTACCGATTATATTTATTGGGATGATCCCAATGAATTTGTAGATCGACTTCGTTTACTTATTGCATCTCAAACTGCTGGAAACTTCAGTCATACTGAACGAATAAATACTTCCTACTCTAGGAGATTCAATTATAGCCCAATTTATTAAGGTCTTTTTATTTCGTAGAGCCATCATCACAGGAATATTTACTCTTATCAACAAAATAAACTAAATAATCCTTTCTATAAAACTGTATAAAACTCCCTTATTTAACTAATAACCCTTTTGTGTTAACTATACATATGATGATCT